ATTAAATTAACATAAACCATTATGTATAATAACTTTTATGTTATTTCTTATAAGTTAAGTAAAATTTACTTTTTAATATATTTCGATTTTTTTATTCGTTATAATTTCTACTTTTATTTATGATAGTCATAAATTATCTTTTTATAAACAAAATAATTTTAATATAAAATAAATTAGGTAAATCAACAATTACTTTTTCAATTATTGTGGAAAGGATGCCATGTGCCCGAGAAATAAATATTTTATATATTTAATATATTTTTTATTGAAAACTTGATCGCATAAAAATCCATTGCAAGTATAGTAACTTTCCCATAAAATTAAAATACACAAAAATCAATATAATATTTAAACTTAATATTAAATTAATAAAATATGTAAAAAAAAGACAATTTTACCATAAAATATTACATTAATAATTCATTATTGTAAAATAATATATTGATTCATTATTATATAATATAGAAATATAAACACCCCAATGAATACAACTTGTAGTTCAATTACAATTTAATTTTGCCAATTAACAATGAACGAAATCTATCGATGGCACAAACATATATTATATGATTAATGAACAAAAAAAGATGTTATTTTCTATAAAATAATAAATAATTCTTATCTGACATACTAATCATTGAATTTCATAGCTTAATCCAAATCAAAAAAATGTTTATGACATGTTATTTATTAGTTTTTCTACAAAATGTTTAACTTATTTTTTCTTTCATATATAGTACTTTCTTTTAAACTATATTTACGGTTTTTATTTCAATAGAAGTGTGATTCTATCAAAAAATTAAATGCATTTATACTAATAAATAAATTTGAAATTAATAAACTAAATCTATCTACATCTAAGTCTTTTGTTTTTATACAAATTATTTCCTGTTAATTTGTTACCAATATAAATATTTTCTGCTTAACTTGTTTTTTTTTATTTAGTTTAGTGTAATTATAATCGTTATATTTTTTATGGAAACATGTTTTTGTTCATGAAAACACTATTGATAATTTTATAATATTTAGTTAGATTATTAATTAATCGGTTGTTACACAAAATCTTAAAAAGAAAATGCCTTTACAACAAATTATATCAACAAAGTTCTACTATTTGTCATTTATATAAAATGTTAGCTTTTTAAACTATTAAATTTAATAAAAACTAATATGGTAATTTTATTCCATAAAAATGGTAATATTTTAATTAAAAATAATAACTATTTATGAAGAAACCTGAAATATGCCACTTTTATTTACATTCATTTCAATGAATTTATATGAAAACGTTTATAGTTTATACTCCATCATAGAAACTTACAACTATAATATAAAATACAAAACAATACAAGAATAATAAAAAGTAGCCTCTATATATTGTTGATATTGTTCAACAATATCAACTATAGGTATTGTATACTTTAATCAGTCTTCGAGTCTCATGAGTATAATTACAATATCCATGAAACTTTTTTATTCTTTTCTACTTTTATCTGTTTGTAAATTGAAAATGGTAATTCACACAGACAGGCGAATTTATATTTTTCTTTGGTAGATATTTAAATTCGTCTACTTTTTTATTCTTTTAGCATAATTTAAAATTGAATGAACCTCTTAAAATATTTTAAACTTAACGAATATTAATCAAACGATTCCCANATGAACCTCTTAAAATATTTTAAACTTAACGAAAATTAATCAAACGATTCCCATAAAGTTATAAATAATTTACTTAATCTTGGAAAGTTGAATTTTTTTATCTGAAAAAAAAATGTTGACAGATAAAAATGTTTCTNCATAAAGTTATAAATAATTTACTTAATCTTGGAAAGTTGAATTTTTTTATCTGAAAAAAAAATGTTGACAGATAAAAATGTTTCTCTTAACCCATTTAAGAACAAACTTCATATTAATGTTGTTAGTTACCCTTTATTTTCGGTTTCAAAAATAAATAAAAGTCGGATATATTTATTTATTTAATTTGTTTTCATTTTTGTTCTGTTAATTCGGTCGCATTTTAAGTTTTTTTCGTATATTAACGTTTTGGGCAGGGAAGTTTGCTTTTAATTTTACTTATACACCGAGACTTACTATCAACTACCTTTAGGTGGTGTTGAACGAAACAAAGAGAATTTTTCAATTCCACCACTGTGTATTGGACAAACTTAACGAGCGAACTCCAAGAGTGCACTGGGCAACTTTTATAATTAATTGTCATTCGGCGAAATGTATACAGAACAGTGATAATAATTCGCCGGTGAGGAAACGATAAAAACGAGACCTCACATTATTGAGTTCATGATAATCGATTGAAGAACGTGATAAACTCTTAAGTCCACGGGGACAAACTTTCACAAAAACGTTTTATACATCTAAGGTTTTCTTTGTCCTTGATAAATTTATGTCCATAAGTGTAAACTTTTCTATAGACCGTCTTTTATAGTGTTCAACTATGTTTTGGTCAAGTACCAAAAACTAACTTAATACACTTTTTTTTTTCAAATAACTCTTAATAATTTAATTATTAAATATATATATTCGATATCTACACCGATAATAACAAATTGAATCATGGGGACCCTAGGCACATAAAAATTATAGTAATTCTTTTTTATGTTCGATGTAAATTTAGTTTCATAGATGTATCTGCCTATATATTAGTAAGAAAAATGGTTGCTCGTAATTAATGGTAGTTTTATTGAATTTATTAAAAAATCTAGCATTATTATTATTACTATACTTATTCTTATTTTTAGTGGTTTAATTTTAACCCGGCCATCTGTTTACCTTACTCTCTGAAATTCATTTAGCTGCTCATATTATTCATAAAATATTTCAAGACTTTTAAATTAATAGATATTCTTCTAACATGACGCCAAATAGTGAGGAAAGACAGCGAGGAATTAGAAGAAATAATTAAATATTCAATAGCTTTTATTCAATTCTTGGAAATTCTATCAAAAAGTTTAAATATTGTTGTTAAACATTATATTACCGTTGATGGATTCAGAGTCATAAATCTGATTTTATTTGAAAATACAAATGCTGACATATTTTTAAGTTAAATAATAATTATCGAATTTCAATTATAATTATTTTGGTTCGATGTAATTATACGAATGTATTTACTTTTAAATTCGGTTACCTACTACGAAATTAATTTCTACTTAAAATACACTGTTGTAACTTCTATTCAGTCTTACAAGTATACTACTCTATCTCATGTATTATATAAATTAATATTACGAATCTCATGCCTTGATGTAGTTAGACACCATTGAGCTCGCAGAATTGGTTACACTAATCCGAAATACCAAAACTATTCAATTAGATAACCTTAAAGACTCAAATACAAACTTTAGTCTTACATCAAAGCCGACGGTAAGAATCAGACTTTAACAAACGCAGTGCAACTTCAAAATTGTTCTTATTATGAACATAATTCGACAAGTTCTAAACCGAACGAAAGTTAGTCCAACTAGTTCTTATAATTAAAAGGGTACATCAAAATTTTTTACATTGAAAAAGTTTCTAATCTATGAAACAATTTTTCTAGTGTAAAATTTGTTATATTTTCAGAATAATTGATAATATTCACTAAGACACACAAAATGATTTTTTTTTAATGTTGCTGGGTAAGTGTATGTAACGATAACTTTGTCAGACTCTATCTATTTGTAAATTTAAATTTATGATACGTACGCAATACTTCATGAATGCCATAAGCTCATGATTGAATGTGTAACCCCATCAGCGATGACAAAATACATCAAAAGCAAACGTCACGTGTAAAGCGCGGCGTTCCATTAAGGACACGAAATCGCGTGTGTCTATAGAAGTGTGTGAGAAAACGTCAAAAATTCCGAGACGCGCTTGTCTTTTTAGGTAAACACGGATTAATCATTTCCGGTTTACACGCTGTTTCGTGTGGCGTAACGTCTAGGATACCACGACTACCCGATGAAAGCGAGTCAGTGATTTTAATGTTAATGTTTCGAAGCAGGTGTTTATAAAAAAAAGTGCGCTTTCATTTTTTCAAAATCCTTTTTCACTCACGTTTTTTGTACGGCGACGACTTTTGCCTGCCGTTTTCACCATTAACGTTATACCTGTTACACACGCAGCTTCCACTATCGCTGTCATCCTCGTCTAACAAATGGAACCCAGTAATGAATGATTAATAATAGCTACCGCGTTCGTAACGGCTGCGCCCTTAGCACGTACATTTTTTTATCTGGTAAAAGCATATGAGCCATATAAGCATTCAGCTGAATACATTTTACACTGTGTAAATGCAGCATATTTCGAAACAACTGTTGCTGCATTCAAATCCTGAACGCATTACACAGAAGACTTCAAAATACCGTATTCATTCTTTACCGTTACACTTTTCCACAAAGTAATTTTTCGTAAAAAGCTATCATTTAATTATTTATTTTTGACCCAATTTTCAAATTAAATAATAACTGACACTCAAGCAACGAATCCTAATTATTTAACAATGAACAGATTATTCAAAGTAAAGAAAACGCATTTTCAAATTGAATAATTTATTTTTCCATTTAAATGTTTGAAATTTATTCATATTAAGTGTAAAAATATTAAAATATTAAGTGTAAAATTAGCAAAAATTACTGTCAAAATCACTATTTGTAATTTTACATTTTATACCTTAAATTTCTATTGGTAACTAACAAATAAATTGTAAATTATTATTTCAAAAATGAATGAATTTTTTACACGTTTAATTTCAATTAAAAATAACTTTGCTATATTCCGGTGACTAAAATAAAATTCTACTTAAGCTGACAGTTATATTTGTTCTGTCATTGAATAGAATTTTAGTCGTTATCAAGACACAAAAAAGCTGAACTAAATAAATTGAAATTGAACTTAAGTTTATTTGACAGTTTTGTTAAACCCTTTACATAAGTAATTTCTGGAAATGCTCTAATGTTGTCTATGAGTGTTTTTAAGTTGATTTCATTCTATTTTTCCAGGAAAATTGACTGTGTTCACACAAAAACCATCTCGCAGACTTACAACACAAGAACCCTCATCGTTGACCGAGCGGTTACAGGTCACGACTGTGAACAGCACAGATCTGCTCTATCCTTTTTTTGATTACTATGTGCCGAGAAATATTACCACTACAATTGGACAAAGTGCTTTTTTGCACTGTCGAACAGAAAATTTAAACGACAAGTCGGTAAGATTTCTTTATCTGATACAAAAAAATTATTAGACTTGACTAATTTACATAGAACATTTATTGTAATTATGTCTTACAAAATTAAGTAAAAGAATTATTCAGTTCTAAGATTGGTTGTTAATTATAATTAACAACCAATTTGTTCAATATTATTAATACAAAATAATTATTTTGTATTAATAAAATTGAAAGAAACTATGAATGTGTTAAAACTTTGAAAGAAACTATCTACTTCCCAAAATGCAGCAATATTTTTGCTTTAGAACTGTTTATATGATAATTCAATTTTAAAGTTATTGATCCCAACAAATATTTAAAATAGGTTTATTAAGAAAAAATAAATATTTTTTGAGGTTTCAGTTTAATTATTTATTAATTATTAACATTCATAAAACAAATAAACAAAATAAATCTATTTAATAATATTTATAATTAAATTAATTTGATTAGAGTTTGAATGTGAAATATGTAACTAATATATATTAATTAATTCATTCATTAATATTAAATAAACTATTTTAACAAAACTGAGAAGTATCAAAAGATTATTACTGTATAAATATAAATAAAAAATGTAATTTTTTTGGAATAAGTTGATTTTTTGTACCTATATTACATTATTTACTGATAATATTTAATATTATTATTATAAAGTACTTAATATTTACTGCGGTACATTAAATAAAATATCATCTTGAATAAATTATTCTCATGAGAACTAAACTTACACTGTAACTACTTAAAGAAACGGTTGTTAAAATGTTAAATGGGATTAAATTTAAACTTACGTAGAATGTTATTTGAGGTTGTTTTATAATATAAATATCTTTGTATTATTTTTCACTAAAGTTATTTGCTTTAATAAGATGGAAAAAGATTAAGTATAACATTTTTTTCCTTGGTAAAAGTATACAATTCATGTAATTACGAATAGTTGCTTGTACAATAAGAACATAAAAACATATGCAATATTTAAAAATATTTGGTGTACTTATAAATAATCTTATTATTATAATATATATATATATATACCAAAAAAATATTAAATCTTCTTCAAATTCGATTACAATTTTTTTTAACACGAGTAATACATATAATATTTAATTATTATAGAATATTTATACTTTTAAAAAACATTTAATATATTTTAAGTTATAATTTTCATTAATAACAAACGTATTCTGCTTTTTCATAAATGATAAAAATAAAACAAAAAACTCGAATCAATAAAAAAAGTCTATTTATTTAAAATCCATGTCCATATCAACTTATCACAATATAAACATCTTATTTAATGAACAATTTGATTACACAAGATGTCTACATGAACAATAAATTATATATATTAATGTAAACTAATTCTAATTTAAGCCTAGAAATTTAATAATTAAATTTTCATATTAAAATTTTTATAATAAACAGCAGAAAATAAACGTAAATTTAAATTCAATTAACTTTGGTTTATAATATTTAAACTTCTTTAAAATTTATGTTAAAATTTAGATGTAAAGGATTTCATTACTAATTTTTGATGTTACCTAATGGATATTAAAAAAGGTCTAAAACACTTTTTGTTTCATTTTATTCTGTTAATACAATGTAATAAATAAAAGTTTGTTATTCTTAAGTTAAAACTCAAAAAAGTACATAAAAATTAGGAAGTTGTAAACTCGTATAACAATAAACCTCTCTACGAAAAAATGTATTATTTTAATCAATATTAAATGTTTTGTAATCTTTATTTTTATCACCATCTAAAAATTTATTTATAACTTTTATTATGAAGTTTTTTTGTATTTTTTTTTTTTGGTTAAAAAGTTGTACACGTATAAGGGATAACCATTTTTTTGTTTTTATCGCTTAAAATTGTGTAATCATAAACCAGTTTAGAATATATTATTAATGCGTGACAGATATTCAAATACTAAAAAAAAAAAGATATGCGATAGATTACAACTTAGATATATTTTATAATTTCCAATAAATAATTATTATAACTTATTTCTTTACTGCTTTCATATGCTCACTTTGTGTAATTGTTATAATTAGGGTACACAGGGTACTCAGTATACAGAAATGTTGCAATTAATGATACTGTAGCGTCATTTTATTCATAACTAGTGCTAAAACTGGTTAAAATTTCATTTTTTTTTTTTATAAGGCTTGAGCCGTAAAATGTTAAATCTTTTTCGTTTTTAGTCGGTACAAAAATAGAAATAATATGACGACTGTTAAAAAAGCTTGAAAATCAATAACTTTAGAAATTAAAATTTTTTACAAAGAATATGATTAATTAAATTAGCTCATTCTCATTTTTATTCCTAGTCGGTACGAAGAGTACGGCCAGTAATTGACTAGTGATACAAATAGTAGCACCCACTCCTCACCTCAAGTCATTACTTTAAATTGTTAATAATTTCTGAAATACTAGTCCCAAAGTTGTTATCGACCAGTCATTTACTTAATTAGATAGTATGTATATTATAAGTTAGTTAAATATATATGTTGACAAGTAAAAAATAAAGTTGAGAACCCTTTAAGTGATAACAGGTAATTCAAAAAAATAATTATTAGCTGATAAATTAAAAACTATATGTAACTAAAATAAATCAAAGTTTTTTTTCCAATACTATAATTATTTTTTGAGTAAATAAGTAGTTTTTAATAAACAGATCACTCTGTATATATAGATAACTATACTATAGCTAACGTGATATATTTTTCCAATTTTCGAGTAGCATTGGTTATATATGTCAAATTTATTACTTTTATAATATTCTATCGCCGTATATTGACAACACATCATCAAAAAATAACTTAGGAAAATAAAAGTATCAACGCCCAATTTTTTTTAAAGAGGGCGATAAGGAGTTTTGAAGTAAAGGTTTATATCTCTCTAGTCGAAAGTGATAAAATAAAAGTACGCCCTAGACTATACTGGTTTCAACTAATCTATAAATCATAATAGATATAAGGCACTCACAAAACATTGAACTTAAAAAATCGACTTTTAAACTCAGATTTAACATTTAAGGCAGTTTAGTTCAATAGTTCTCCCTAAAATCTTTAGTTAATTAACTTTTTCTTCAAGGTGGTTTTCGTTATTACATATCAATTTTAACCCGACTAATTCAGTTAAGATAGAAAATTCAATGACAACAAAAGCCCTCATTGTTGACCTTACACATAAAACCATAATATTGAATGAAAACTTTTCATTAAAAATTATACTCTTAATAATATTAGTATTTTTTTTTTTAAGTATGTAATTTTATAACGAAATTAAACTCGCTGTTTTTTACGTTTTCTTTGAATCTATTCGATAAACTAGTTAAAATAACGTCCAAGTACTTTTTTTCGAAACATTAAATTATTTTTATTTGTTGAGGTAATCACAGGTTCTGAGGGATTGAATGATCGTAGAGATGTGAACGGTATATCAAATTAAACATAACAAGTTACCTACATAGGCGATTTTCCATAAAAAAAATTTGAAAAAGTTATAGCCCTTCAAATGCCTTTTGTCGGTTTTAAATTTTGTTAACACAATTTCAAAATGTACATTGATTATGGAATTATAACGAATTGATGTTTTAATTATTTTTTTTTAGTTATTTTACTCTAATTACCAATAGCGAAATTACTAAAGCGTCAATATACTTGAATAATTTAAACGTTTGATATAATAATTGTTTATTATAGTTTTAACAGAATGTTCCAATTTTACTTTTTGCTTGTTCTTATCGTTATTTCATAAAATATATTTAATACTTAATTAATCATATTGTCCAAAACTAATAATAATATCGCTGATTATAATTTTCCTTATATAGGTATCATGGATGCGAAAGCGAGACTTGCATATACTGACAGCAGGAGTACTAACTTACACCAGTGACCAGAGATTCCAAGTTATTCATCCGGATAACTCGGACAATTGGACCCTACTGATTAAATTTGCTCAACCGAGAGACGCCGGAATCTATGAATGCCAAGTGAATACCGAACCTAAAATGAGTTTGGCATTTCAACTTAACGTCGTCGGTAAGATAAAATATCAAAAAAATAAATTCTGAAAATCATTGTAACTTTATTACTCAACCTGAATTTCCAAAGGTTCAAATGTTTCTTCATAGAAGAAAATAGGCTTCACATAGTTGAAGTTTTATAACATTTTTAATTTTCAAATTTAAATGAATTATATCCTAAAGGATCATCATTTACAAATTTAAATAACAAATTACTAGAATAATCATTTTTTATTCAAAAATTATCGTAGTGAATTAATATATTAGTTCTATCAAAATCTTTAAATTTTTTTTAAATTTAGATATATGAAAATTAATACCCATTAAATTTATTTAGTTTTTTACTAAGAAATAATTTTACTTAAGTTTTCCATTATAATTATGAGGTTTATAACCTATCATAACTTTTTTCAAAATTTTCCATTTTATTATATAAACGTATTACTATATTTACTGTTTACTACTATATTTATTTATTTAATGGTATACAGAATAAAAAAAACAAATTCATTTTCGTTTGGTCGTAGGTTAATTTTAATTAATTTATCCAATAAAAATAATCCCCTAAAATATAATTGAGTAGTAATATGTTAATTCAAGTTTTATTTGTTTATTTAATCAATAATTCATACTATGTTTTAAAATAATATAGTTCAACAGGTATTTATATACCACTTGGAAAAATTTTAGCCCTATATCAAAGCTTAACAGTTATGTATTTTCTAAATATGTATATATATATATATATATGACACGAAATAGGACCGAGTGTGAGTAATAGCTAAGAGAAAATAATTTTATTGTGCGCTGTGGTAAACGTTAATTATTATTATACCTTAGTACCACTATATATCATTAGATTAAAAAAAAACACGTTGTGTGTAAATTCCAAAGGGTCAGTTTTTATTAATAAAAATATACCTAAAGCGGACATAATAAAAGGAGTAAATGTAGCCATGGCTGGTAACTTTATAACACTTTAAAATGCAATTTTACGCATGAAACTGACGGTATGCGGTTAAATCTGTAATAATAAATTAATGGGGTTTTCATTAGCAATTTGGTAAAAATGCGATCGTGGTACTGGTAATTAAAAGGTATATATTATATATTTTTTTATGCGCGCATACAAAAATGGTAACCGTTTTCTGTGTCCGTAAATTACTTCCGACAATGTCGACAATGCGAACAATAATACCAATATAATATACTGATTATATAATTGTTCCCCGTTATAATCGGAACTTCATTTAATACTGCCAAAAAGTATAGATAAAAAATTACGCTTAACAATAGCAGCTTTTATGGTCTGCAGAGTCGCATCTATTTTTTCATCTTTAAAAATAATATACGAGTACTGCGAATTGTGTTGTGGCGTACTATTAAACTATTGAACTCAAAAGCCATTATTTTATACGACATAGGGGTGTGCACAAGTTACATCAGAAACGAGCTCCTCGAGTGTTACACAAGTGTTTGCCTCGAAGATTTTTCGATTCCGACAATGTCCGCGTATGCCGTCAAACAGGCGCCAAATCAGTACATACGACCAAGAAAAACGTGCTTTATGTTGAGATTATAAAATCAAAAACCTTACAAAATATAACAACAGTATTTGAGTGTTGTACGTTCTGTACTAGATGTAAAAACAACCCGATGAAAAGCTCCTAAGTGAAAACGATAAATTTATCATAAAATATTTGGTTGTTCAGGTAGATTTTAAAAACGCAAAATGTATTTATTTATGTTTTACTTTATACTGACTATTATTACGTTTTACAATTTCCAATAACCTGGCCATGTTTTCAGAAAAAATACAATAAGAGTAAAGCGGTACTTAATTTACTTTACTTTCGACTTCATTAACCTTTCTTTATGATCAATTTACTTGAATGCACACTGTAAACTATAAAAAATTATACTTAAAGTTAAGTTGTAAATTAAAATATCTTCTCAATACCGCGTTACAATCAAAATAATATAGTATTAACCGAAACCGAAATAATTCATTGACACAAAAAATATTTAACATAATTTGGAATAACAATAATATTAAGTGATTATAAATATGAATGCATCATATATTTGTAAATACACATAATAAAATTATGATTTTAAAAAACACTAATATATTTTTTCGATTAGTTATTATTTGAGGTTTGTTGGTTTTTTGGAGGACCAATATTAAATTATACTTAACACAATTAAACTTGTTTCCAAAATACACTTAGTTTTATCATAACTTCAAAATTGAATTTTATAATAATTAATGTTATTAAAATAACTGCACAAAACACATTCAACTCCTTTTAAACTTCGTTTATTTTAAATTATCTATTAGCGCGCTTAGTTTAAACAATTACGTAGTTATTTATTGGTATTTATCAAAAGTTACACTTTTATACAAAAATATCTTTTAAAAAAAACATTTCTTTTAAAAAAATGTTTTCGACGTTGAAAACCTAAGGGTTTTATACAACTAAGAGTTATATTACAAAAATATAGTATTACGTTAGAATATTCTATTTCATTTATTAGTAAACAGCACATAAATATAACTTAGATGGTTTAAAAATAATAGTAATTTAAATATATTATCTTAGTTCAAATAAATTGAATTGTATTTTCGTGAGGTTTATGACAAACTACTAAAGCACTTGCTATTACATTTGTCATTCCCACGTATATTTTGATCATTTCGGACACGTCATCATATTACTGTCTGGTGTGTACAACAATCTATTAAACTGATAAATGTTGTGAATGTCTCTTATAGCGCAACACGAGGACCACATGGTCAAATATTGACAGTATGAAAAAACGAGTACGCTTCTAACGAATTAGGTATCTCCTAGAGAAGGATCGCCTAACTTATAATACATGTTAGTTGGGGAAAAAAGGTTGTTTTTCACCGACACCTTCTACCGTTACGCTTGTTAAATTTCTTGTCCTAGATAAGAATCAATGGTTTCTGTTCGGTCGTCTGTTGATAATTCTTACTAGAAAAAGGATTGCCCTCATCATTCCGCTTTTTGTTTGAAAACAAATGATAAAACTTATAAATTACCACAAACACGCTTCTAAAAAAACAAATTTTTATAATTACATTTTACCAAATTTCTAATTAGTTTATTTACAATTAAAAATAATTATTTTATAAAAAATACAATATAATTGTTCTTAATTTTGATCTGGTATTAGCTCTATTTAAAAATAAATTGCCTAGATATATTTAAATCGTTCATAATCATTTGATTAAATATATTTAACATGAGATATAATTTTAAGCTCAAATTAATTAAACTTTACTCTATTTTTTACTTTTTGCTTTTACTAATCCATAAAATTTGTACCTTAGACACTTACTCCTATCACTAAAGCTGGGCTTGGAAAGTCTGAACCCCTCCCAGACATTCATATTTTTGCACTATATAATATGTTAGGTAACATTTTGATAAATATTCCAAGTAAATTTTATTCATTACAAACATCCCCACAGAAATTTTTTGAAAAGACGCCACTGAATATTACACTATTAAAATACAGATCAAAAAAATGTGTCATGTAATATTTATGAATTTTTTAATTATTATTTACCGTTGAGTTTCATGGGGCTAATTCTAAATGTGCTATTAGTTTTTCTCTACTGTCCATACTTTAGCCCCGACTTTAGTATTTGTAAAATGACTGTTTATATATACAAAATGTGACTTTAAGTTAAGTACAGTCGGGATCCAACGTAAATTTAATCATTAAATTAGATTTTCAAAAAATTGATGTCACCGGTAAACAAATGTTTTCAATATATTAATAAAAATGTTAAATAATCTGTCCAGTTTTCAAAAATTTATTTCAATACTAAGAGAAAACGAAAAATATCAACACGAACTGTATTTTCAGTACATTTCTCTTTATTACGGCGATTGAATGAAATTTTTCAAAAATATAGCGCTTTTAACTTAAACTAGATAAGTTTTTCGATCGTTTGATGTATCGTTGATCAAAATCTGCCCAGTAAAAGCGGAGTAATCGTGTTGAGTAACAAAAAAACAACAAAATAATACTAATAATTTCTCAGCTATGAATCAAAGCTAAAAAGATTATTTTTTTGTCTTCGGTACAACTTGGTTGTTTTATATAACTTGATAATTTCTTATACAAAATTTAAAGTCATTCTATCAAGTTTTACCTTTGAAGTTAAGTTTAACAGTGGTTTTAAAAATTATAACCATAAATTTTTTTTTATTTATTTGTATGTTGTTGTTGGCAGTTATGTTGATAGAAAATGTTATAAAGTACCAAAATATACAGAAACATTGTTTTTTTTAATTATTTTTATTTAATAATCGCTCTAAATGAAAAAAATAAAATACAATGAGTCCTAGCATTGTTAAATTCGTTAAAAAATAATAAATTATAAACTTATGTATTTTTGTTGTAGAGCGTAATGGTGCATTTTAATTATATTACATAATTAATTAAATAATCAAAATTCATAAAAGTCTGCATAGTCACATAAATGAAATAAACAGATATATATAGATTTTCTTTAAAACAGTAGTTTTAATGAAATTTTTTGAAAAAAACCTTTTTAGAATTTCTTATTGTGTAAGACTTATTTAAAAAAGATAAATTTAATTTAGTTTATAATTTAGATTAATATAAAGATAAAGTAAACTGCATGTTGACATCCAATGAATATGTTTTTTTCTACTATAAAAGTAGATTAAAATGATCATAATTCATTTTTTTACACGTTATCCAAAAATTCAATAAAATAATGGATTATGTGTTTATGCAAATAAACATACATACTTATATTATAAAATATATTAAATAAAAAAATAGTTTTTAATTAACTAAACAATCAAAAACATTGTTTATGGATACTTTCTCAAAATTACTTAATTTTAAAGTTATATTGCTATTACATCAAGAGCCATGGAAGAGGATTTTATATTATAGGTTGAGTGAATGATTGGAATGATTGATGATTGGTCATCGCTAAATAAACAATACCATATTGATTGAATTCATTACTTTAAAATATTTATTAATTTAAGTAATACCCATTAACTACCTAATAATATAAAATCAACAAGGTATTATATCCTAATTACATATAATCTTAAAATCACTATGGTACATTATATAAAATAAATTAATTTTAAAATAAGAAATTAATTTGTAATACTCACTAATTCTAACACAACTAAATACTGATTACCAGACAATTTATATGTTAGTATAAATAACTATATATAAATGTTCATAATAAATAAATAATAGAAATACTTATAAACGATAAATTAATTCGTTGTAGAAACAAAAATGTTTGAAATATTTGTATCGTTATAGTTATTTAACAGGCTCATTATGCATATTATTTGCATCATAAAAAAATAGATACTAATAAAAATTATAAGTTAATTGAAAAATTGTAATTATAGACTAAAATTAGTGGATTTAATTTTTTACAAAAATCTTAAACGTTTCAATTATTTTAATAAAAAAGAACATTAATTTTATAAGTAAATCTGAATAATGTTACTTTTAAATGAAATTTCCACAAGCAAAATCGTTTAGGGAGTGATATTGTTTAACGTCTCACCTATCTATTTTTAGTAAAAAATCACTATTTTAAAATTATATTTTTAAAAATTCTAGGATATACATACTCATAAAGTAAAAAGTTTCAACGCAAATTACTTATGAAAAACTTTAATCCTCTTACTCTTAACATAGTATAACTAATCAAAACTTAACCAATTGTATTATAACATTGGGAAAAAACTCCTTGACAAATGAGATATATAAAATAAATAATGCAATAAACAAATAATTTTATAACAGTAATATAGAACTAAATATTATGATAAACTTTTTAGAATAGGGTTAGAATGTAATTATTTTACTTCATTGAATAAATAATTTAACTAGCTAAATATTTCATATCACTATTAAACATTTTGCAGAGATTTTAATTTTAATTTAAATAAATGTTATAAATACTGCATATAACTAATTCGTAGAAAAATTAAAATAACTCCATACGTACAAAAATTCCCTACTTATTACACAAATGTTTACTGCGATATAACATATATTATTTGATTGTTATGCCGTTCAAATAATGCCAGACAAAGTATAATCATCATTATGATATCGCGAAAGTTAAAATATGGCGATATTAAAATATTAATCAATTAAATAATATTATTTTATTCCAATATCGTACAGAATATAATTACATTTTTTTTTTTTACTTATAAAGATAAGATACAGTTAAAACTACCAAAAACATATAATCTAATTAAAATTAATATTAATAGAGACTCCCTGTAGGTAATTTTCGAAATTTCTATTTTTATAGTCATATATTATTTTTTCAGCTTCGATGCGAAACTGAAAAGTTATTGGTTTTGATGATGATGTGTTTAATCATCAAAATTCTAGCTCTCATCGAACCGAGTTTGTTGATTTAATACATTAAAAGAACTCGATTTAATTCTAGTAAAGTCNAATTTCTATTTTTATAGTCATATATTATTTTTTCAGCTTCGATGCGAAACTGAAAAGTTATTGGTTTTGATGATGATGTGTTTGATCATCAAAATTCTAGCTCTCATCGAACCGAGTTTGTTGATTTAATACATTAAAAGAACTCGATTTAATTCTAGTTAAGTCTATCGCCTCCAAAATTAAAAAAATATCTCAAAATTACGCTACCGTAAAAAATTAAATTATCAAAAAAAATTTCCTAGTAATGTCCTATTACAATAGTTTATATCACTCATAAATACCACTTTTCTATGTTTGTTATATTTATTCGTTCACGATATTAAAATCGTAACTACTTATATATTTTCGATTGACAAATCATTGCAACATTTAAAGTTATTGAATATTTTTCTGAATTATTTCAGTTATTTAGTCGTAATAGTTTCTAACCACTTTAGAATATCGGCCGAGGTCGAAGTCAGAAAACATTTTTCCAAAGCTAATTGCCTGTCAAGAACATACATTCATTCACACCAAAACATGAAACACCAAACAACACAAAAAGTCCAAATGCCATAATTATATTGACAATAATGATTCAAAAATAAGAATTTATTTTCATCCTATCTTTCTCTACAATACTGTTTCCATGAAAAAATACAAGAACGTTAACGGTATGATGTTTTTCATAAATTGAAGCATTTTTTTTTTTTTTTTGAAATCACTTCCCTTTGAAAAATTTCCTTTCGAATTTTCTGTTTATATCGAATATTAAAAACGTTTCAGTATATCAAAGAAAATTAAAATATTCAAAGAAATTTCAATCAAAAGAACTCATATTGAAATAACTTTTATTTTCAAATCCAATTTTGGTAACCTAATATATGTGTAAAGTGACAACACTAGTGAAAGAACACCACTAAGGTTTTATCTAAAAACTAATTTGATTATAATAATTTTAAAACAAAGAAAATAACTAAATATCACAATTTTTTATTTAATATTATTAGCTGTTTATTTACTGACAAATTCCAATTTTTAATGTAAAATTATAAATTAAAATAGTTGTTTTAATTATAAATACTTTTGCATAATTACTATAGAGAATTTTACAGAGAGAAAATATTTACTAGCTCTATAAGCGTGTAACATAAAAATAATATTAATAAAGAACTTTAAAAAAAGAAAAAATAATAACATAAAAAACAGATTATTTAATTTAGTAGCATTATAATTCTTCAGTAATATGCGTTTTAAATTAAATTTTGTAATGTTTGAAAACATTAACAATGGCTATTATTTTGTATTAATAATTTGAGGATTATACAATAATAGCCAAATACTAGTATTTTTATAAAAATAATTCAAAAATTAAAAATAACAATATTATAATAATGAAGTTTAAATGCTAAAAGAAATCATATTTTACTTGGAAAACTTTTTACATTTTTTTGCTAAAAATTTAGTGTTCTATTAGTCTTACATCTGTGAGGTTCGCTTAGTAAAAATCAGCTTTGATTACAAAAATGATCTGTTGTAATTATAAAATGTATTCTTTTGATTTCTACATTTAATCGTAGACATCACCTTTTAATGCCATTAACTAAAAATGCATCAGCGGCAGATTAATACCAGTAAATGTATTACTAATATGTTCTTAACAAGCAAAATTTCCAGTTCTTTTTATTCAAATGTCACTTTACTACTATTATTCTAGAAATGAGAGCTCGAATATGCGGACCTCAAGAACTTTACGTAAATGAAGAAAGTGAAGTAACTATGCGGTGCGAGCTAAGTCAAGGTCCACACGATCTTGGCACGATATTCTGGTACTTAGGGAATACACCAGTTTATACGGACCAGGTCAGTCTACAGTCGATTCGACAACCACGGGTTAGTGTACATACCGAATGGGCAGACGGACTGAAAAGTACGCTTCACATAGCTCGTGCGAAACTCAGTGACTCAGGGAACTATACCTGCGTGCCTACATTTGGACAATCAGCTACTATTAATGTGCACGTTGTAAATGGTAAGCGTTTCAAAATATTTTATTTTAATCTTTATAAAAAGTAATCAAAATTAATTGAATACAAATTGGCCTAATCCTAGTTGTCAGCATTTAGTTTTTAGAAATTTGGCGCAATTAATTTGACAAATTCAATAAAATAACCTATTTTAAATTTATTTCAAAAAATGATTATAAATGTAAAATTCTCAATTTCTTGTAGTTTTTATGTAATCAATGTCAAAGATTACGATCCTCAGAGACGTTTTTTTGGAGATCCTCGGGTCAACTCCCTTCGAAACTTAGAGCTTAACTGAAAAAAGTACCATGAACCATACTAGTGATGACACAAATTGAATTTTTTTAGAATGATTATTTCAAAAAAATTTGAGAACATTTTTTTTTTACTAAAAAGACGAGAAAATTAAATTTTACTAATCTCTATAATTTAAAAAAAAAAACAAAAATATTTTGAAATACATCACTGGCAATTCTTAATAGTTTTATCACGCAAAAGTTTTCATGGTAGTAACTAATAAGAATATTTTCTAAATTAAAATTTATTGTTTAATAGAAATCCATAAATATTATATAGCATTAATAAGATCGCTAAATTAATATAAACGAATGTACTTCCATATGTTGTAGTAATAATAGAAATAACTATATATAAAATACAACGATAGTTTNATAAGATCGCTAAATTAATATAAACGAATGTACTTCCATATGTTGTAGTAATAATAGAAATAACTATATATAAAATACAACGAGTTANTAAACGAATGTACTTCCATATGTTGTAGTAATAATAGAAATAACTATATATAAAATACAACGATAGTTTTATCATCAGTGAACCTTTAATACATAATTATCAACACTAAACTTGGATATCATATTCAAATAAATACAAATTTATATTTTAACAATTTTATAGTTTCCAGCAAGGATAAGGATAATATACTTTATAGTTTAGTGTTCCCAAAGGTGCTATGTAAGCCGATTATCCTAGCCATTACTCATAACCTTAGTACAAAGCCTTCAATACAATATGCTAAGAGATAAGAAAGTATTCGACGTAAAGACCAAAAATACCTTTTATCTTTTTAACCTTTTTAAGTAATACAGTGAACATTTAATTTCAATAAATACATAGTATTTTTAAATAAAGTGATCAATATTTATATTTGTTTCTATGTAAAAAAATTGATGAGTACAAATAAATATTGGCGGAAAATATGAAAAATGTATAATTATTTCAAACATTATAGACAATTTTCATTTTTGAGTTACAAGAAATCACAATACTAACTAAAACTATGACATATACATTTCGCAAAACCAAATGTAAATTATTATTAGCAAATTAATAAATATCATTTAACTTATTTTAAGTACTAAAATATATTTTAAAAATAAAAATAGAATATCATGTACATATAAATGTTTGATATTTATAGGTTATAACATTATTATTAATTAGTCATTGACATAGAACTACAAATAATAGATTTTTATATGAGTATAAAGTTTTATACGTTACATGTAATAAACGTCACGTTTGAAATCCAGAAAAAGGTATAAAATATTATATTATACTACGGTTAAATTATCGATAAATATTATACATTTTTTAAATTAAAAATATAGTTTATACTCGACCAATAAGTTGTTTAGAAACAACATATTTTGCAAGTAAATTTTCAGTTTAACACTTGCATGTTGAATGCCAATTAATAGGACATCTTTCCACTTTTATTATATTTGATGTATTGACACTTACAACTGCATATATTTTTGTTTAATGTTTCATTATTCAATATCTAATTGTACACATTGTTTTACAATATTAGTAAGTTTTCCTCTAGATTCCTTCATGATGTTTTTCAGAATAAATGGTTCTAAAAATAATATTTCACCAGTAAAACAATGAATTAAACAAGCTAATGTTTTTTTTGTTAGCTGTTTCGCTATTCCACCTTTAATTAAAAGTACTGAATTAGTACGAAATTTTTTATTGGCACAAAAATTATTGTGTACTTCATTTAATAAATGAGATGAAAGAACTTTTCTAGACGGTGGAATGTAAGTTAGCCTTAAACTTTTACAGAATTCTTTGAAATTTTCTGTTTCAACCACAGAAAAAGGATATTACATCCAAAAAAAAGGTCGCTAATTTATAATTAATATTATCCATTCTAGTAAGAGTTATTTTGGCATAATATTTTTCAATACCATTTTATTTTTGTTCTCACAGGTCTAATATCTGAACTTGATTCTACAATTTTAACATTACTTTCATTTTTTATCATTATATTAGAAATACACTCACTTAAATGTGATGCTACAGCTATGTATAACAAACCATTATTAGAGTCAGAATTTATAAACTTGTTCTTCTACGTTTAATATGAAAAAAAATAATTTGAAAATCTTATAAAGTGGAAGCATTTTTTTTTTTTAAGTTTTATTTAGTCAGGTTATTAATGTTCTTGTTTACTTAAAGATTCACATTTATTTCTATGTATAATAAGGTATAATTTATTAATCTTACTTAACATTTTTATACGAATCGAGCAACTAGCAACTTGTTTATAACCTATAATAGAACACAAATATTAATTGTCAATGAAAAAAAATTTTCTATATTTATTTTAGCTTTGATGCGAAGCGGAGAAGGTATTAATTTTACTATGATGTGTTTTTTTTTTTTTTTTTTATGTCTGTTGCCACTTTTTCTCAGCTCTCACTGGACCGATTTCTTTCAAAAATACGTCAAAAGATCACAAATCGTATCTAGTTGAAGACATTACCCTTAAAAATTGAAAAAAATTCCCTCGTTCCCCGCAAATGGGGGAAATATCCAAAAAAATTACAAATTTAAAAATCGCTAATTTTCGAAATTTTTTCACTTTTTTTTCTTAAAACTTCCATAACTTTTTGAAAAATCAACAAATCAACATAATTTTTTTTTAAACTAAAACCTTAGATATTTTCCTTTCATTTGATATAATTTTTTTGAAAATTTAACACTTAACCTGCTCATTGGGGGAGATTTAAAATAGCAACTTTTTTACAAAAACTAACTTTTTCAACTTAATTTTTGAAAATGTTCCGGAAATACTGCGTCCTTTAAACATATATCAAATTAAAGCTTATTTTATGTACTACAAAATGAAAAAAAAAAATTTGTCCCGACACTTTTTTTTCTACATTTAAACGGCTGCCGTAGTTAAAAAAACACTATTTTTGTGTTAAAATTTTCGATTTTCGATTTTAAATTTTCAACTTAAAAATGCTATAACTTTTTGAAAAATGTATATATCAGCACAAATTTTTTTTTTCTAAATACATTATAAGTACATCTTTCATTTGACATACTTTTTATTAAAATTGGACAATTTCCCCTTATATAGGGGGCGTTCAAAACTTAAAATATTGTAAAAAACAACTAACTTTTTCAACTTAATTTTTGAAAATATTCCGGAAATACTGCGTCCTTAAAACATATATCAAATTAAAGCTTATTTAATGTACTATAAAATGAAAAAAAAAAATTTGTCCCGACACTTTTTTTTCTACATTTAAACGGCTGCCGTAGTTAAAAAAACACTATTTTTGTGTTAAAATTTTCGATTTTCGATTTTAAATTTTCAACTTAAAAATGCTATAACTTTTTGAAAAATGTATATATCAGCACAAATTTTTTTTTTCTAAATACATTATAAGTACATCTTTCATTTGACATACTTTTTATTAAAATTGGACAATTTCCCCTTATATAGGGGGCGTTCAAAACTTAAAATATTGTAAAAAACATAGATCTTTTTCAACTGAACTTTTGAAAATGTTCCGGAAATACTGCGTTCTTTAAACATATATCGAATTAAAGCTTATTTTATGTACTATCAAATCATAAAAAAAAATTTGTCCCGACATCTTATCTTCTATGTGCAAATGGCTACCATATTCAGAAAAAAAAATGTAATGTTTGCGATAAAAATTACATTTTATCGGGATGTTTTTTGTACTTAAAACTGCCATAACTTTTTCAAAAATGAACAAATAAAAATAATATTTTTTTGTATTGAAACCTTAGATATTTCCCTTTCATTTGATATAATTTTTTTTGAAAATCTAACACTTATTCTGCTCACTGGGAGGATTTAAAATAGTAACTTTTTTACAAAAAATAACTTTTTCAACTTAATTTTTGAAAATGTTCCGGAAATACTGCGTCCTTTAAACATATATAAAATTAAAGCTTATTTTATGTACTACAAAATGAAAAAAAAAAATTTGTCCCGACGATCTATCTTCTATACGCAAATGGCTACCATATTGAAAAATATACTATTTTTGTATGATAATTATGGGTTTTGTATTTTATTTTAATAGAAGTTGATGTTGCTTTTGCAATTATCCATCAATTTTTTAAAATTAAACACTATCTACAGATTTGCATCGAAGCGTTTCTTATGATAGTGATTTTAATCACTGTCAGATTAAATCTATACTGAACCCAACTATGCAATGTCTCCACTATGCCGCGACCCCACTGTGCTACCGTTTTTTATATTTCAAGTCTATAAGTTGAAATATTTATTACCTGTATTACTTTTTTCTTTTGTTCGAATAAAGTTGGAGTCTCATCATCATGTTTCGGATACTCATTAATTTTGTTTGAAAATATTTATTTAATTGACTTATTATTATAATTTCAATTAAATTAGTACTAAAATCAAAATTTTAGATTTTTTTATGAAAACATGATATCACGATGTTTAAATTCTGATATCAATAGTCATCTCGCAATAACAAAAAAAATTGTAAACTATATTATGCGTCATAAATTCATAAATTTATACACTGTATACATTTTATATGTGCCAGCCCTGATTTATGCGCATTACTGTAGCACAATTGCCTACTCGTTACGCCGTTTATTATGAACTTGTCACGTGCATATTTTGTTAGTTCTCTTTTTTCGATTTTAAATTGCCTCAGTTAATAAGTAATGATTTTATTTAGTGATGTACAGCTAACAATTTATATGAATCCATGTGTAATTCAATTTGTACTACTATTAGAATAAATAAACATATATGTAAAAATTAGATTACAATTAAATATAATCTTATAGCACAGTTGCTTAAGATAAAATACATTTCATAACAGTTTATGCATTTTTTATTCGCAGAAATCGGATAAGAAAATTACTAAAAATCATGATGCAGAACATTTTATAATTCAATTCCAACAACTAAAATGTTATTTCATATTTTACATTATACAAAAATATCAATTTATGTATAAATAAATGCATTGCTCTCATTTCTGAGTACAATTTAAATATTTTTTTGCGGTAGATTGATCTGAAATATTTACATATCTTATCATTTAATAAACTCGATGTAAAATTCATATAAACATTTTAATGTATTTCCGTTAATTATAACTTTTATCTTAAAAGTTATGAAAAAATAAGTGGTACAACAAAATAAAACATAGTAAACTTGTGTCGTCGATGGATATCTTCTTTTATCAATTTACCCCTATGTATTTTATTTTCGGTTAATATTCTTATGGTATACAATCTTAAACAGATTTTAAATATCTATATAATTGTAATAAGAGTAAAGTATAACTATGAACATGACACTTGTATCAAAGGTAGCTATCAATTTTATACTATTGTTAACAGAAATTTAAGTTTAGCTGACAAGTTAGCTTAAAATTCATGTTACACAATAAAAACAACTACTATTTTATATAAACTTTATTTTTTGTTTACACGACTATTGCTGGTTACTTTTTTTAATGTTTAGTAATTTTATTGACAATTTCTAATTTATAAACTCATTTGATTGTTGTATCTCTGAAATTTTTCAGGAGAACATCCGGCAGCAATGCAACACGGTAATCGAAGTGCAGTTAGTGGGCAAATGACAGTGCACGTGCTCGTCCTCTTAAGTCTACTTATCATGTTATCCAATCCAGGGCTATTTGGTCACTGAAATACATTCAAACTTGGAAATACAGAGTTGTTATGCACAACAGGATATTCGCCGTTCCAGTGTATTACCAACAAATCATGTACATAATATTATCCTAAGTATTTTATAAATAATCGTTGTACGTACGCCTGTACAATAATTAACAATTAGTTAACATTACTTACTTTTGTTTTGTTTCTTCATTGTTATTGTTATTTTTTCTTCTGAGGATATGGTACGATTCGTCGAGTACGTATTATTCGAGTTGAAATATATTAGTTTTGTTTTTCAGATAATTAAAATGTTAAGTTTATAGATAAAATAATGTATTAATTCTGTTGATTTATTATTTTTATTATAGCAGGTCAGTTAAAATTGAAATATTATACACATTTACCAAATGCATTTTAGAGGTATGCTACTTCATAAAATAAAAACATTAACTTCTTTATTAGAAGAGCAAATCAATTAAAACATAGGTATCCAGAATTAATTGAATAAATTATAAATGAAATAGGATGCGAAATTTAATTAATTACATTGTCCTTGATACAGTTCTTGAAACTCATCGTTGTAATCTTTCCTCGAAAAGTTTACCATAAAATGTAATTATTTTTGAACGAAGCCATAAATAAGTACAAAGCAAGTTAATCAATAAAAAAAACATTAAAATATTCATATCAGTAGATTAAATAAAACCATTGTATAATTGACATTAATCTAAAATCATTTTTACTCCACAGCAATACGCTTTTATTTATAAATAAGACAGAATAGATGTAGTTAAAAGCGAAGGGAAAGTATAAGAAACAACCGTTGGTAAACTAACTAAATTTCAGGTTTTTTTATTATTATTTTATTTTTTGTTATATAGTAGTAGCTTAATAACAGTCAAATCACATAAAACGTATCCGAGTATAAAATTATTTAATTGACAATCGTTTTAATGACACCTTTTGATCCGTTTCATTGAAATGTTTTATCAACGCAAATGTTTCCAACGAATTTTGACCAATTAATGACTTAAAACGTTAACAGGTCAATTTACCAGCGTCAAAAGATCATTTCTAATTTCATTTACTACAGTTGATTAAATATTCACATCAGATGCAACAACATCGAAGATGATGTCATGAAATGTGTTTAGCATAAGGACATTGTAATGCATTAACCATTAAAGCGTGACATTGGCACTAGCATTGCAACGCTATATGCAATTTTGCGTATAATTTATTTATCTATACATTGATTTACTTGTACAATAAAGTTAACGACTGAATGGATACTTCAAACGGCAATGGACCGAACAAACTGTACTTAATATTGTACCAACATTATAGTCTTTGCTTTATGTCCGCGACCGATTTATTAATGTATAATACAACTGCAATGATATTATTACTGTGTATGATGCCAATAGTAAAAGACTGTGTAAACTTATAACGGTCACGCTGTCGCGCCGAACGTTTCTACACTATATTATATTTCAAGTTTAGCGATTGGAATTTTTTTTTTCTTAAAGTTTCAAAAGAAAAACAAAACTGTCACATGTGTAGTAGCGTCTCTTTAGGACTAACTTACAGTTTGACAGATTGTACGTCTCGGGAAACAACCGCGTTCCTTCAACGGTCTGTTAGCATTTAGCTAAAAAGTTTTATTATTTTCCGAAAACAATAACAAGACTTTTGAACCTCACAGTAGTCGATAAACCAAATTTGCAAGTATTACAAAACCATATTGTATGATTAACTACACTTTGGATTTAACATGATGTATGTGTAGTCGTTTGTTTTGAAAATTAATTTCTTCACGCACCACGGGAAAATAACTTTTGAAGATAATGAACCTATTTTTCTTTCTCAATCACTCGACCCGATTGTCAAGGATTTTTTTTTTTTTTTAACGCTATTTATCTTAATAATGTCGTATATGGGATCTATCATATTATTTTTCTACTGCAATTCGTCACAAATCACACGTCTATCAGAAATTGAATATGTGTGTGCGATAAGTTCATCGGCGATGCAAAATAATATTGACAATACAGCTGTTTCACGTGTAAGATCGCTGTAGAACGTACACAATGGTGATATCTATTTTAATGCTTTTGCAAAAGTTACGATGCATACATTGTTGTTGCTCGACAACTCTTCCAGGTCACATTTTCAATGCCTATTTGAATTTCTATAGAGAACCTACTCGATTTGGCATTCTCAGAAGGAATGAATAAACTCTAATAACATAACCCACACAATACTAATGTTGAAAATGGACGAAAAGATTCAATTGATGTTAAATGCCAATTTTCACAAAATCAATTATTTTCAATATAATTTTAAACATATAAACTTTTTTCTTGGGAAACTTAAAATATCTCATAACTATTTTCAAACATTCTAAAACATTTTATCTAATAACACAAAACTTGTTAATTAATTGACAATAATAATGATAATTATTGTTGTTGTTGGTTGATTAACATTAATTATTATTGTTGTTGGTATAATTATTATACCGACTATAAAATATACCCAGGAGAGAATAGATTTAAGCTCCTTACGATGAAAATAACTTTATGTTAAACAGAGTATGTTTACATAAAATTGTGTAATAAAGTATTGTTGTGTTTTTTCTTTGATTGGTAGTAAAAAAATGTCTTACATATCCTTTCCAATGGACATTGAATAAATTACAAGTATATCTCAAGCAATTTAAGAAATCAAAATCAAAATAAACACAAAAATATATTTTTTTTTATATGAGAAGATTTTGCTTGAGTATTATAAAAATTACTCTTTTCATTAAAAAAAGTGTATTTATACAACAAATCTTTACAAATTTCATTTTTCACCGTAATTTCAAATAATTTTTGAACAGTATTTTATATTACTTTCTATTGAAAACATAAGTATGCGAGACCAAAGTAAAAAAGTAACGCAAATTAAGTATCATTCATAAAATATGTATATAAGTATTACTTTTAAGGACTGGCGCTGATTAATTGATGTAAAAGTCTTGCGTGTTTTCAAACATAATTTAGCCAGATTTTCCCAGAATATTGTATTGGCTAGCTTGTTTCTCCACAAGAAACGGAAATAATGCTCCAAGAGGTTTTTAAAAAAGGTCAGGCAAAGCAGCTTAATGACTTAACAGGTACTTCAAGCAGATTTTTCGTCTTTTGACCGTTGCCATGCGTTTGGCAAAACCAATAATAAACAATTGGTCAATCAGATTTCTTTTGAAAACTGTCCGTGTACACTTTGTGCAATTTCCAACAGTATTAAATCCGTATTACGCGGTTACTTTTTGCAGTATAAAAAGTAATAAAATTCAATTTCTACAGTGACATTTGTACGACAGTAGTTACGGAATTGTTCAATATAGACAAAAAAAAAACTTACCGCTTTACTTATCCAATGACGACGAGCTATTCCGTTTGTAATAAATATTGTGATTATTTTTTGCGATCGCGTTCATGTAAGTCTGGTACATTTTGGCAAACATGAAAACAAAAGCAATAAATGGACATTACTGTTCGTAGATTAAAATAAATTATGAGCCGGTCACTCGACATAAGGCAACTAAACGAAATACAATTTTAACCGTCTGTGGCGACAACAACTAATAACTTTAGTAAAACGTGACAAGAGGTCCATGTAGGCACACAACGTGGTATATAGAGCATGTTGCGCATCACTTTATTAATTTCTAAAAATAACCTTACGAATAAAGATCGAGTTGTTCACTCGCTTGTTTTTGCTATAACTTTTAAATCCAAAAACCATTTAAACACCAGGTGTTCATTTTTATTTACCTATACCTCGGGCGTTAACCCTCTACTTCTTTACGACTACCTTGAACAATATCGCCACGGAATAGACAACTTTTGATAAAAATATCAGCACATGTATTTGAGCAGTAAAGTCGACTCGGCCCAGCAGTGTGGGCGTCTTTATTCCCTGTATATCTTTTTAGAACCCGTTGGATTTATTGTGCAAGTTGTATCGGACTCCCCGATAGGGAAACTCGATATATTCAGACGTCTATCGGACTTGGTGTAATATGTTTTGAAATACAATGTAAGAACTGACTAGAGACGTTATACGATGTACAGAAGGCGACGCAATGTCATGCAACATAAAAAAATCGATTTTTTCAACGAATGATTAATGTATTGTCTAGCAAAATATAATTCTGAATTCTGAGTATTTTTTTTTTCGTTTTCGCGTTAAACGAAAAATATTCATTAATATTTAATATCAAAACTTCAATTTGCGATATATATATATATATATTTTTAATTTTAGAAAATAAAAAGAGATGTTATTGCCCCTTCATTAAACAGTAAATCGTTTTTTTTATATATTCTCAATATTATACAACATGTCAACTTTTATTCAGTGGGTTGTGATTTGTATTTAGCAGACAAGCGCATTTATTTCTCATACAATATTCATTTAGAGTAAAAAATTATTAAGGCATACATTAATACGATATTTTTCATCACGCAAAAGTGTCTTTTGAAAAGTTAATTATACCTCTGATTTTTAATGGATAAACATTAAATTACGAAGGCGTACTTTTAATTTTTTTTTTTTCGTTTTTTATCGAGTTTGAATTAAAAAACCCTTTAGAATGCAGAATTATTCCCTTAAACATTAATATTTCAAATATCATATAAAACCCGTTTATAAATCGCCTTATATTAGGATGTAATGTATGTTTTATATTACCAAAGTGCTAATACCTACCCTGTCCTTAATTTTTGATTTAGTCGATCACTATAACGTGCTCCAATACTAAACCTCCTAATGCAATAATATTATACATAAATATTTAAACATGACACTTGGATATTAAATAACAACATGTTATAAAACTTAAGTCAATCATTGATGAATTATCTATATACTTGATATACGTATAAAATACCGCTAGTTCGTTTTGCTTATTACTATAAAATCGATTATACATTTTCATCAACAATTGTAAGTAACAATTAATTTCCCCAGATGATTTTAAAAATAGTTAAATATTTTATTTATGCATTAATAATACAAACATAATATTTCAGCCAAACAGTACTGTAGCCAGATTTTTGCTTGGGAGTCTAAGAACCTTTTTTTTTTTTGCTTATCACATACTTTTATTAGCTCCTAAGTCTTAAACTATCAATAGTAGTAATTGGCCAATGGGCGGGCCATAGCCCTTTTAGTCCCCCTTAGATACGTCACTCTAGCTAAATATATGTTTACCATAAAATTAAACATTTGCATTCAAAATACTATAATATCTTGGGATTGCAATTGATTTTACTCGACATTTCATATTTACTCGGCTCGAATTATTATTTCATTGCAAGTGTACCACCAGTGGATAGA